AATTCTTCTGCATAAACCTGAGAAAGGTTAATCTGTGTTTAAGAAGGGATTTTTTTTCTGTCTTTTTACATCAGATAGTTTTGAGATTCATACCAACTACTACAGTTGCTCTTGTTTAAAAATGCCAGGTTATAATATACTTCTCAGTTGACTGAGAGTGGTTGGACAGTGACACTAAAGATTTGCTGCAAAGAGATGCCGGCCATTTTCTTGCTGTGTTCTCCAAAGCAGGTCATCGCAGTGGATAAGCCCACAACATGCCTTCTATATGGATTAACAGATTTGATCTCTGCAAAAGTGGTTTCTCTCACCCACTTTCCAGGGAAAGCCTCTGGCAAAAGAGAAATCTTCACTTGAAAGAAAAGAGTAATTTCTCTCAAGACACACACGGAAATTTTAAAAAGCTATTAGTCTTTGAAGAATGTTGGTGCTACAGAAGTTTACATAATAAAAACACATATTGTCAAGTAATTAGAAGAGAGTTTGTGGCACTGTGCTCCTTGGGGGTCTAATAGGTAAGTTTCTAAACAAAGTAAAAGCAAGTTTCATTTGCACTTTCTTGTGTTTGGATAGCCTAAGCTAGTTGGTTTCACTTTCTAGTTCCCAAGCACTAATGCTACAGTCCTCAACTGGTACTACAAAACTGTCAAGAAAACATTTTTTTTCCTCATTTTCTCTCCACTTTTAGCAAGAATGATTTTAAGAATTGCCTGCCTGTCAAGCATATATGAAGTTAAAACAGATAGTGTTCTGAGGTATTAACTAATGAGGACTCAAGCAAAAATTTGTTAAAATGAAGTGCACAGATATAAAAAGAGGGCTGAGATATATAAATATATATCAGATATATAAAAAAACATGCTGAGTATGATTAACTAGTCATATTTAGACTTATTGCTACTATTTTTTCCATCTTATGCTTTGCTTTTTGTCTCATCTTTCTTTTATTAATCTTAATATCACATTGTATTTACAGATGCATAAGAAAGTATTTTCTAAACAGTAGCACGTTACTATGAGAATAGAAAAGTCAAATAGCACTCTAGGTCAGGTTTTTATTTTAATTCTAGAAAAATTCCATTTGTTTGTCCTTCACAGCAAACTCCTTTACAAACTAATTTACCTGGTAGCAATCCAAAATACACCCAGCCTAAAGCAGTGTGACAATTGAAAAAAAAAAAATCATTAGATGCTTTTTGGGGACAAGCATACATGTTTCTGCCACAGACTTGGAAAGAACCAAAAGGGAGGTAAGTGAGGCCTGTTTCCAAGATGTGAAAGGTACAAGTTCTTATTCAGACTGTTTATGGGAACGGCTTTTGAAATCAACACATTTCTGCATTTCTGTTCTAGTCCTTAACAACCCTGACAAACAGCTACTGATCCAGCATGAACTTTCTTTACCTGTATTTCAGGACACAGTAAGGTGTGTGCGTGTGGGGGGGGGGGCAAGAGAGAGGAAGTAGAAATTCCTGCTTTAAGAAGTAATAATTAGTCGACAAAGGCATAAACTGCTTGAAAAGAACATGGCTATTTGGAATAAAAGTACCCGTTACTTTCATGTTTTCTAAATATATTTCTAAGATTCCAACTACTTACTTCTTCAGGTGTAATTACTCCAGTTTCTTTAAACTTAGACTCCTGTAATAAAGAAAATTTAGAATTGTTAAGCTCTGCTGACACAGAGTGTCCACTTAACTTGAGAAGAAAAATATCTGTTACGTCCTTGCAAGATGTCGGGAATCATCAAGAAACTATAAGAAAGGAGAGCCCTTGCACTCGCTATTGCATTTGACAGTAAGAGACACACACATCACTTGAAATCAGTCATTTTCAGCCATAGGGGACTGTTCTAAGCTCTGAGCAGCAGTACAATGTATTACTGCGTTGCTCTGAGGTTAAAATTAAGAAGTCATGAAATGGATGACTAAACCACATTCATGGTAGTTAAAGTTATGTAGAAAGCAACTAACTTTTGTGTTCCTGTTCCTTCATTACATGGAACCAGTTTTCAATCTCCTCATATCGTCCTGCTTTTTGTGGAGGACAAAATAGTTGACAAGCAGCAAAATGACTTAGTTCTTATATGGAAAAATGAAACAATTATAATTAAAAAAGGCATCTGAAAAGTTTAAAGCCAATGCTTTCATACATTCAAATCTAGAGTGAATCTATTTATGACTTGTGGGGTTTTCCAGTTGTTTTTCTCCTTCAGAAAAGTCTCAAGCACTAAGGAAGCCTTTTTCCCCTGCCATCAGAGATAGCAAAGAATAGCTTTTGAACAAGAGCAGTATTTCCACAGCATAGCTCACTTCTGAAGTTTTTGTGCAATCTGTTACTTACAGTTCTTCACTGCTAGCCATCATTGATACCATATCACTTTCTGCTCTGAAGAGCTTATTATTTTCTCATCAAGACTAAAAGCAGTGGCTGAAAAGGATCTTGCTTTTAACTACAACTTCAGCTTATTCAATCATTAGCAAAAGCATAAAATAAAATCAGTCATTGCTAAGCATAGTTATTCTTAATGCTCAGCATGACCCATTTCTCTTGGGCAGGCATTTAAGAAAGAGACAGGCCAAACTGCTGTCGCACAAATATTTGAGCATCATCATATGCTACTTAACGAAACCAAAAGAAAGAAAAAAAAGTAAAAAAAAAAACAAAAAAAACCTTACCAATTTAGACTTATTAAAACTTAGAATCCTTGCTAACACATTATGCCACCACATTGATGACAATAACTAGCTAGCCTCAAGACTAACTATATGCCCTGAATAGCATGCACAACCATTAAGATTACATGGGACAAAAAGGAAAGTCTTCTGTACCGCTAGGGTAACTTTTTCACTTTTTCACATTCTGCACTATGCAACCTAGTGCAATGTATAGCTCTAGCTTCTTTATGAAGTTATAAGCTGGACTATTTATTCCTTCAGTGCCCTTTTAAAGGAAACAAGATATACAGAACATTATCATTCTCTACATATGGAAGGTTCCACTCCACCTTCCTAAGGTCTATATTTTGTTTAGGGACTTCCACAGAGAACTAGGCATTATAAATGCTGCACTCTATCACCAGCATAAAGCATCAAATTTGTAATTGCAACTATACAGCGGTAAACAAACCACTCCACCCTCTTCCATTGCAGCTTCCCTTGAGCCCTTACGCACTACATTAGCAGGCAACCTTGGATGGGTCCATATCCTATCCAAGGCAAGATCAATTTATAATTCCATGCCATTGTCTTCTATCCAAAGCCTTAACTTGTAGAGCATGTGCACAAACACATAGGCCACTGCCATTAATAATTGCTGTAGACATTTCTCCTCCCCTCCAAACAACAAAACCAGGAAGAATCAGTAGTGAAAGCACTGCTGAATTTGTAAAAAGTGAAACACGATGCATGGTCTAACAGTTGGAAAAAAAAAAAAAAAGACTTGAAGGTTTTTTTTTTTACTACCAACGTAAACAGTAATAGGAAACATGCAGGATGTGCAGTCTACTTTTACAAGCATAGCTACAGCTTACTAGAAAAAAAAAAAAGCAATCTATTTCTACAGTTCTACAGTTATCTACTGTACACAGGCTCAGAAACGTTGATGCAGAAATGAGTTATATATAACTTTATGACTGTTTACATAACGGAGATGATACTGGCCTTTTCTCTCAGCCGAAAAAGCTGCCCCCTTACCTAAAACCCCCGTGAGCAGTAGCTTTTTGACTTCCTACTTGAGCACTTTCGACTTCCCACCCTGGTCGCGCAACCAGCTGCAGCTCAGCACTCCCCAGCAGGAGGGCAGGGGACTCTGGAGCAGCAAGGCCAACACCGCCGGCCTGCGCCTCGCACTCCAGATACGCTGTGAGCCGCTGGCGAGCGGATAACACCGGCGCCCCCGCCCCGCCAGCCTCCCTCC